GCAATATCGCTCCCGGTGCAGCGATGGCTGATATCCAGATTGGGTCTGAGGTCTTTGTCTACAAAGAGAAGCCAATTGACAAGTAGTTAGGTACCCACAAGGTGCTCGAAATCAACGGGAACATGGTTCACGTCGATATAAATGGAAGGGCTACGCTCCTGTCCATTGACAAGGTGAAGCAGTCTCGCCGCCCCGGTATCCAGCATCCGACTGCAGTAAGCCTACAGGTCCCCGGGAAGAAGCTTGAGACTGATGACGACGTAGTCGGATAGCTGCAGCGCATTACGTCACAAATGAAGGTCAACGAACTGGAACTGCCTTCACCCATTGACGATGTAGCCACATTTGACCCGCTTTCCACAGGCGACAACATTTGTGCCAGAGAATTTGTTTCTGTAGTCCAAGTTAATGTGACGGAAGTGGTGCAGAACGACGATCCTCGTGTCAACTCCTCAGCATTCAAAGAAGCCAAGTAAAAAGAGATATATGGCCTGCTGAGGAGACAAATTTGGCGGGTGATCAAGAAAAGGGACATACCTCCCAGCGCTAACGTACTAAGCGGGAGGTTTGTTCGATGAAGAACCTCAGTGTTGACCATGAGAAAGCCAAGGCCAGTTATGTAGCCCAAGGGCATAAAGACAAAGAAAAGTCCCGTCTTGTACACAACATAACCACTTTACGCCAAAGCTCTACTAGCATGATCGTTTCTGTTGCCGCCGTCAAGAGATTTCGTATCTTCGGACACGACGTAAATCAGATATACTTGCAAAACGATGAAAAAATCTGACGAAAGATATTTTTACTCCCAAAGAAAAACGATTTAGAAGGCTTTGGTCTTGAAGAGCATGAAATCCTGGAGTTACTCCGCCTTCTGTACGGCACATGCGATGCTGGAGATTGCTGGGGAGTTACAGTTCAACGCCACATCACAGGTGACTTAAAAATGATATCAACAGCCGGGGACCCGTCTTTATACCTAAAGCAAAACAATGAAGACGTCGACGGGATCATGGGTAACTACATAGACGGAGCAGCTCTTGCAGGCAACGAAGCTTTTCAGAAGTTAACCGAAAAACGCTTGTGAAGTTTGATTACAAACCAAGAGAGTGGGACAACTTCGATCTCTTTGGCGCATTCATTAAGACGTTGGACAATGGTGAACTCACAATAAGCCAGAGTGATTATGCTGAGAACCTCAAGCTGATGCCTATGGATGCTACATTCCACCAATTCCGTTCTCTTCGAGCGATCTTTGCATGGCTTGGGCACACGAGGCCCGATGTTTGCTGTGCAATCAATCGAGCTGCACAAGTTACAGCTGAAACGTATTCTAAGAACAAGAGGAAGAACTGAATGGGATCAATGCAGCCATCCTGAAAGTAAAAGAATCAACAGGTCCTTGTTTGCGCTTCTATATGCTTGATGTGGACACCCTGAACATGAGGGTGTATACAGATGCTCCTTTTGCAAACAAAGACGACCTCTCTTCGCAACTTGGGTTTCTTGTACTCCTCTGTGACAGAAACGACGACGCGCATACCCTCGATTACTCAAGCAAGAAGTCTAAAAGAATTGTTAGATCTATACTTGGAGGAGAAGTTTATGCATTCGCACATGGCTTTGACTGCGCATTTATGATACGGCATGTTTTGAAAACCATCTACAATCGAATAATCCCTCTACAAATACTCACAGATTCTCTGCAGATGCTCGATGTCATTACAAAAGCCTCATCAACAACAGAAAAGCGTTTGATGATTGATATTGTAGCTACAAGAGAAGCTAATAATCGTCAAGAGATATCCAACCTTGGATTGGTGCTTTCCGCTCACAACATTGCTGATTGACTTACCAAGGCAAACAAGACCTTGGAGGAACTACTGAAAACGGGTATGGATATTTAACCCTGTTCAGCAGTGGGTGTTTCGAAGCGACCCAAGCACACACATATAGGACCTCTGTGATGACCACTGAGCAAAAGGGGAGGTGCCGTTGGCCAACGACATGAGAGAGGAATGACTGGGAGTCATATTAAGGAATCACCGCAGCCTCCATTTCATTTTCTTTCAACCATTTGTCTCGGGCCACTCTGCACACATCTCGTCAACCACAAAACATATATTCGTAGTGTATCTTCAAAGACATCCCATCTCTGCTAGTTTGTTGGTTGAAAAGACAACTCCAATCCTCTCATCAACAATTATACAATAAGAGCGCCAACTTTCTAATAATGCCTAAAACACCTCCACTTTTGTCAACACTCTCAATTGAACATTGCACAAATCAACACCAAACCTTATTTCTCCCTCCTACCCTCATTATTCATATCACAATGCACGCCACTTCCTGTTAATTACAGGCTACATCTAAAAAAGTGCTTCATCAATTCAATAACAAACACTCTTCCTGCTACTTGAAGCCTGAGACGACACTTTGACGGACCGAAACAAAAAACACTCTGCGTCAAATTGAATTACCTGAATAAAACACCCAATTTCTGTTGGAAGATGTTCTCGCTCAACCCTATATAGATTCTCTGTTGCGTTAGTGATGTGAAGCATGGGGACGCATGTGCGCCACTACTCATGCCGAAATTCAAGTAGGTATTGTTCTCATTGGTTGGAACTATTATCTCTCGTATTATTTATCTTCTTACGGTACGTGTAGCTCACTTTGGGATCAAATGGCCACCTAAGCTCCCGTATAGTCATGTTAGGAGGTGTCAGTGGGTGTTCTTCGGTTTAGCGGGTTACGAAGGACTTTTGCAGGGGTCATAAGGGGGAAGCTAGTGGTTCAATTTAGTAAAAGACGGATAGCCTTCCAAAGAAAATACCACTTCCATCCAGGTCAACCAACGCGGCAACGAGAAAAATTTTTATTTCGAGGGAGAAACAACTGTCCTGCCCCGCACAACCCAAAAAACAGGAACAAAAACCCCTTTCCAAGAGAAAGTCTTGCCCTGCTCCTCATACGCTTACATATACCGCACTCACAGCTGAGATACATCCGTATGGATGTAGCAGCACGCAAACTTGTCGACGCAACAAACCACAATTTTCGGTCCCCTTCCTGTTGAAGTGATAGTGCGCAACGCTCACGCCTCTACGTGGGATTGTTAGGAAGGCTGATATGGGGATCTGTGAGCTTACTGTTTTTTGATCTACATTGGTCTCGTAATGGCCTGATTTAAGGTCTTATTGAAGGTGTGATACGTGACGTTAACTGATCTATATTCTCCGAATCTTTTCATAGTAGGTTCCCCTTTTCTCGCCTTTTACCTTTTCTGTGGTGCAGGATCAGTCCCTCCCTTATTGTCGTCCTGCAGCTACTGTTGAGTGCGCCTCGGGTTTTTGGGGTAGGTTTACCGAGGTGCTACGTATCTACTTAAGCTCTACATTTAGTAAAGACGAGTGTGAGCAGACCGACTCACTCCATATCTTTCTACAGTCAGTGCACCACATTTATTCCACGAGAATCCGGAGACGCAAACAGGTTATGGACACCAGACTACGCTAACCGCTGTTGTCGTGTATCGGTTCTTCCCTGTGTTTCTTGTTCTACTGTCTTCCTCGCTGCTAAGGAAGTTGCAGGGACTGTATCGGCAATTTCTCTCGCTGTGTGCGAGATTGTAATTAAGAGTTATATCGCTGTGTGCGTTTGTAACTACAGTACGGGAATCCGCAATGGAAGACAACAAGAAAGTGTACAAGTACTTTGGAAAACCTGGAGATTTTCACCTTTGGGCGGCAAGGACAGAAGCTGCTTTGGAATCCAAGGACGTACTACAAGTTGTTACCTCTGACGTGCTTTCCCAAGAAGGGGAGCTGACGGATGAGATGAAGAAGAGTATTGCTACTGCACGCGCAGTACTGATACAAGGAATGGGAGACCGGCCTCTGCGTCTTTGTCTGAGTGCGAAAGAAAATCCCTATCGCATGTGGGTCAGGCTAAGAGAGCGCTACGCTGTATCCAACACCGCCACGAAGGTTCAGATCCAATCTAAGTTGGCTCGCTTGACCTACAAGGGACAGCCAATGCAGGACTACATAGATACCTTTGAAGAACTGTTCAATCGTCTGGCGTCGATGAAGAGTGAAATTCCTCAGGACTTGCAGGTGGCGATGGTTCTGGCTTCCTTTGGGGATAAGAACAAATTGCCCTTTGGTCATGTAATTGCGTCGATGCAATCACAACGTGATGAATTGGATTGGGAAACCACCACTGCAAGGCTGTTGCAGGAGCATGAAGTGCAGCTTCCTAGACCGGTAGGAAACAAGGGGTCGAGCTTACACGACCACGGACATGCTCTGTCTGCAAAGGGAGGCAATTTCAGATCTATCCGATGGAAAGCAAACAAATCTAGAAATGAGAGACGTAGATGCTTTGAGTGCAGAAAGTTGGGACACATTGCTCGTTTCTGTCCTTTGAAAGACGAGAAGACAGGAAGGCGGGGACCTTTTGTTGAGGAATCCAGAGGACGTCTCGATTCAGATAGTGGAAGGGAACAGCAGGCGCTGATGCTAATGGCACGACAGGATGTTGGAGACGAAGATTGTGCTGAGGAATGCAATGAGGACCACAAACGAGGTCCGGTAATGCATGATCACAGGCCCTCAACGGCCATGACGTCTCTCAAGAATACAAAAGACGTATATGATGAGTCAAGAAATATGTTTCTTCTAGACTCTGGTGCTTCCGATCACATGGTGTGGTGTCAGCAATGGCTTGTTGACTGTCACGAGATCGAGCCCCGAGGAATCATGCTTGGGGACGGTAATAGGGTGTTCGCAACCCATCGTGGAAATCTCGTACTGAAGACAACTCTGCAGGATGGGAATGACCAGTATGACCGGCGCTTCGTTCTCCGGGGGGTATTGTGAGTACCTGATCTACACTCAAACCTCATCTCGTGCTCCAAACTTTGTGAGCGTGGATATTCAATTAACATCGAACGAGATCGTTGCAATGGCATGTATGGGGGTGTGATGCAGTTCCAAGGAATGAGATTTCAAGGCGTGTATCGCGTCAGCGGAACCCCAGTCTATCCTTCACAACACGTGGCATGTGCAGCTGTGTTTTCCAAGAGCAAGGACGGAAATCGTGAAGATGAGAATGCAGAGAGTTCCGGTATCAAGCTTTGGCATGCACGTCTAGGGCATGTAAATACGGACAGTATCAAGGAGCTATCTCGTGTGGAAGCTGTCCGCGGCCTTGATTTGATGACGCGGAAGAGTAAGAAAGGAGCGTGTGGCAGTTGTGTTAAAGGAAAACAGACCAAAGAAATACTGCGTACAAATAATTCGCGGTCTGACGATCGGTGTGCAGTAGTTCATACAGACGTCTGTGGGCCAATGTCCGTCCCATCGTTCTCTGGCGCTCGATATTTTGTTTCCTTTATTGACGAGTGTACTGGATACACGTCGATTATTCCAATAGTTCAGAAGAGCGAGGTACTCAAGCACTTCATCATTTATCATGCTTGGATTGAGAAACAGTTTGGATGCGAATTGAAGAGGGTTCACAGCGACAATGGTGGGTATATGTTGCACTGAGAAGCTACTTGCAAGAGAAGGGAATCGAACACACGACATCTCCACCATTTTCTCCGAATCACAACGGAATCGCTGAAAGAGCCAATCGTACTATTGTTGAATGTGCTACGACTATGCTGGAACACGCATCTCTACCAAAAACATTTTGGGCTGAGGCAGTTGTACACGCGGCAAAAATTCGAAACAACTTCTTTTCTCCAAGGAAGGGCAGGAAGACGTCGTATGAACTTATGTGCGGTCGCGTCCCAGATGTGTCCTATTTTCGGATATTCGGATGTCTGGGCTGGCGTCAAATTCCAAAAGAACTCCGCCGAAAGCTAGACGTTAAATCCGAACTGGGGATAGTTGTCGGCTGCCTAGAAAATAGGCAGTCTAAGTTAGGGATACCCTCAAGAAGGGTTGCGGTACTGTCGAGGGACGTCATTGTACACGAAGATCATTTCCCTGGAGAAGACCAAGTTTTAGAATGCCCAGATTCTGCACCACCCCTTGTTGATGAAGGAAACACAAAGGGTAAGAAGAGAAGTGTCTCTGCCGGAATTTTCGGGTCCCCCAGGGCTGTTTCCGCCCCAACTGGTCCCACAGGAAATCCTGGCAGTGAAGAAATGGCGGAGATACCACAACATGAACCGGTTCTGTCAGGCGAGCAGCTTGAGGCACTTACGTACTATCCTGAGAAACCAGATGTGACCAGCAGTGACACCGAAGAACCCGAAAGGACAGACCAAAGTGGACAGCCTCGTTACCCCCGCCGTGAACGTCGGCCACCACTGCCGTACTCTCCACAGGCGAACATAGCAAGTGCTTTTGCGATGATGGATGCTGTAGCATAACCCCCCCCCCCTGGGGCTTTAAATTAGATCAGATCAAGAACTAGATCAGCTACTGTAGAGCGTCGAGCTCTACAGTACAACCGCGCGTGTCCACGTGTACACCACGGGGACAACGGACACGCGCATACACGTGCACACGTGTACAGCGCGCGAACGAAGCGTGTACGCACCACGAGTAATACGTGTACTGTCAGCCTCGACATAGCTGACAGTATTACAGTGCAGGCCGACCTGCACTACAGTAGCCCACTACAGTACCGAGGTACTGTAGTGTTATGATAGATTGTTTTGTATATTAAATATGGAGCGGACCGACGGCGGCAGAAGGGGGCAAGCACGGGCTTGTCCTCAACCGACCGCCAAGGTCAGTCGACCCAGCTTATTCTAAACGTCGCCTTCGCTCTTCGGGCGCGTTTAGTCGGAGCCGAGCCGGAGTGGACGCGCAGCACGTGAGCGAGCACGGAACCGCCTCCGCCCGTCAGCACTGGTACGTCACCCAGTGCTGCTCCGGGGCGTCGAGGCGTCGATCCGCTCGTGCGTGCGCGCGTCCCTGCTCGCTCCCGCTCTACCACCGCTACCCGGGCCCGAGCCCGGTTCCGTAGCTGGTTGGCCCGCTTCACCCCTTCTCCGAACCGGGGTCTACAGGTCGAACTGCGCATACACCTCCAGTCGTCTGGGGGTGTTTATGCTACAGTGGTCTCCCGACCTAGAAGACCCCGAGATCTTTCCGAGAAGACTTTCTTTTTCCTCCGCGTCCGTACGCGTTGAGATGAGTCAAGAATACGCCACCTCGATCCGGTCCGAACCGGCGGATCCGAGAGCGGCCGCTATGCACGCACCATCACCGCCGTTCGGCGACGGCGACGCTGGTCTCCGAGACCGCGAACCGTCGCCCGAGTCCCCCGAAGGACAAGCGGCTGCGATGTTCGATCGCATAGCTGACTACATCGAGGAAGTCCGTACTTCACTCCGTATAGACGTGACGGACGCCGTCTACTCGCGATGTATGGACGAGCTTCGCTCCCTACGTGAAGGGAGGTTCGATCGAGTCAGCCAGTCCTTGGAGAATCTCCGAGCACTAGTCGACGAGTTACACTCGCGACTGGTGCTCGTCGAAGACTCACGCCTCGCACAGCCCGTACTGCACGGGCAAGGTCCCCCCACGAGGCCGACCTCGACGAGACGTCCCGACGATCGACCGTCCCCGTCAGCAGAGCAGTTGGGTGCGTTCGCGCACCTCTCCGCCGAGCTCAACGCTACGCGACAGCGTGCTCGTGACATGGAACGGACCATGGCCGAAAGGCTGCCCGGTGCCCCCACGAGAGGGCCCGGTGGTGCCGTACCTCCGAGCGCCGTCGCTCCGGAAGGTTGGCGTCCGACTGGCGCCGACGCCAGTCGGACTGCGGAAGGAAACCGTCCCCCGATGGGCGCGAATCTCGCGTCCGAGACCCAAGCATTGCCGCCTATCCCCGTAAGTAGGCGGAAGATGGACCGCGTATCGTACGCGGACGAACAGGACCGTGGAGGAGCCGCCCGCGGATCCGGAGAACCGATGTTCTCCGTCGATCCCCGCTGGGGCGGCTACCCGCCGGCGAGTTATGCCGAGCATCCAGGTCCGGTAGACGTCCGTACGCTACCGGTTACCTCCTTCGGCACGCTAGGTCCCGCCGAACCCGGGCTCGAGCCGGTGCATACGATGATCCAAGAGTTCAGCGCCGTCGCTGACTATCGTATGTACCGCTTGGATAACACCTCGAGGCTCGTCACCTCGGGTGACGCGGGACGGATCGCGAAGTACGTCCAACGCTGCCGTGGGATCCGTCCCACGATGAGGAGCTTTGACGGTACGGACCCGATCCAGCTCCTACCGTTCTTGAAGGATATTCGGATAACCTTCAACTCGCAACACCTGACCGAAGGTGTTGCCGTGAGAGTCCTCGCGCACTTCTTAGAGCGCGACGCGGAGCGCCTGTATACGAGTTATACGATGCGTGGCCTCCGCGCCGGCCAACTACACGACGACGTGAGTTGGCCGGGGCTCGTGAACCAGTTCCTGAAACGCTACCTAACCGACGACGTGTTAGGTGAAGCGTACGACGCTGTCGCGACGGCGCGACAGCAATCTCATGAAACGGAGAGCACGTTCGCGGACCGGCTCGAAACGGCCGCGTTCCGGTGCACGGCAGTGTTCTCCGAACAGTCCCTCGCGCATTACTTCGTGCGGGGACTCGCTCCGGCGACCCGTGCCGCAGTTTCCGAGACAGTGCAGCGGCTGCCGAGCCGCCAGAAGACCGATCTTCCGACCATCCGCCGTATCGCAACGGCAGAAGGAACCACTTACCGCGCTCGACGCGGTTTACCTCTGCCGGATTCGAAACCGGCAGGGAGGGCTGGCAGGACTACGAAGTCCGCCGCAACAAGGTCGCCCGCCTCTGCCCTCCATGTCGGGGAAGATGAGTGGCAGGCCGACCCCGTACTCATTACGCAGGGAGCAGGGCCAGTAGGGGGTCGATCCCCTTCACCGATGTCGACCGGAACGACGTCGAGCTACGCAACCGCGTTCGCGGCCACTCCAAGAGCACCCAGGGGTACGGACCCCCGGGTCGCTGAGCTCGACATCTCAAACCGAGATACCGGAGGTGAAGCCCCTCGCGTGCCCCTTCTCACCGACGAGGAGGCTCGTCACGCGGCGACCTTCGCCTCAACGGACGGCAGCGCGTACGTGTGCTGGCTATGTCGTACGTACGGACACGCCATGTACGCCTGCCCGTTCCTGTCGCCGGAACAACGAATGTTCACGGCGTACAGGAACTACCGGTACCAGATGGAGACGCGCCCCGGGGCGCGCAATCTACTCCGGCAAGCGGTCGGCGAGGGTCGTCCCCCGCGTCAAGGTTTCCCGAATCGGTCGGGTGGGGGCGCTCGATTCGCCCCCCGTGGAGGCGGGTATCGTCGTACCGAACTCGATCGTCGCGATCGGCCCGACTACCGCCAGGCCGACACAAGGTACCCCCGCCAAGGAGGGAGAGGGGACCGAGACCGTTCTCGGTTACCCCAACAGGTACAGAATGCGATAATGTACCTGCAAGACTGGGTAGAGGATCCGTACCCCCTACCCGCGGAGGGTCACGAAGGAGAGCCGACTCGCTTCATCCCCCATATCCTGCGACGGCCGGACGCCGCAGGTCAAGGCCCGGAAGTACCCGAGTACTTCGCCAAGGCTGCCGAGCCGCCCGGGAGGAACAGTCCCGACCCACGTGGTCGGCCACCCGGAGAAGACCTGGCCGACGATAGCCAGGGGGGTAGCTCCGATAGCACCGGTAGTTCGAAAAAAGGGTAAAGACGGTTACGTACACGCGGTCGCGTGAGCCGTCTTTTCCCTATGAACTAGACCGGTCCCCGCGTGCTGGCCAAGGACACGGGGGGTATTGTCCGATAATACATCCCCCGCTATCGGAGTCGAGCACGGGGACTCCAGCAATGTCGACATTGCAGGAGAAACCCAACACCGAGGCCCACGTAGACCCGATGTTGGAAGAAGGCACCACAGGGACACCCGACACCCCAGTGAAGCGCCACGGGCGAGACGTGGTTAACGCCGACCGACACGAGTCGGTCGCCCTTCGGACCCCGGTGAGCCCAAGGTCGCCGACGAAATTTCCGCCTCGTACGGACTCCAGCACCTGGACGGGCGTCACTGAGACGCGAACGTCCCCCGGCTCGAGCCGAAGGAAACGCAAGAGGGGCCAACGCCGAAGTCGAAGGCCCCGGCGGAACGACCTCACCGATAAGGTCGCGCCCAAGGTGGTCGAGGGCCTCGTATGCCTCATGACGTCGAAAATATATAACGTCTTGGGCTCCGTGGCCACCGAAGGCAACGCGTTTAAGCCCCACACGATCGCCGTCGACACGTGCTCGGGCTACAACTTGGTGAGGAAGGCCGACCTCCCTCCCGACTGGGCTCGCTACGTAATACGGGGCGCGCCATTACCACGCCTGGCTGGCGCGAACAGTAACCCGCTTCGACTTACGGCGGTCGTCCGCCTCGCGGTCCGGCTGCGGAACACGACGTTCCGCATACCTTTCGTAGTGGCCGAACAACTCGCTGTTCCCGTTCTACTTGGGACCGCGTTCATTGATGCGCACGTACGCAGCATCGACATCGATGGACAGAAGCTCGAACTTCGTCACGGTGGCTCGGTAGCCATCGTCAATGGGAAGGGGGAACCGACTCCCCCTACCAGGCGACATGGTCGCCAAACGAGTCGTCCGGAGGTACGCGAGGAGGCCCCGCAGGCGATCCGAATCGCCCGCTGGGCCACCATCCCCGCGATGTCGCAAGCCCGTGTGCGTGTGACAACCGCGGGGAGGGGTCTCGTGTTCCTGGAGCCCAAGCCCTCACTCCAACACCGCCATGGAGTGAGGCTGACGAATGGCGTCGCGGAAGTCCTGCCGAACCAGACATTCGAAGTCATCGTCGCGAACTTCTCGCGACGGGAGAGGCGGCTTCCGAAGCACACCGTCGTGGGATACGCGAAGCGCAACCCCCTCGCGATCCTCACGCCCGAACGTCGAGTCGCTGAGGGGGTCGCGCTCGCGTTGCATCTGACCGACTTGACCGATCAAGTCAGAGAGGTCGGAGCTGGCCGATCCAGCTCCGACGAGAAGGCAACCGCGGGGAGTGAAGGGGTTGACCCGGACGAACGGTCACCTATACCCCAACCGACGGCGAAGGGTACTGTGCCCCCCCGGCAAAAGGATCCCAAAAATCCACCGAGGGATTGGGAAAAAGAGATTGACTTGTCATACATCGACGATGACAAGCTCCGTGGCCACGTTCTCGAGATGCTCCGTAAGCACTCGGGTCTGTGGAGCGGTGCGCTTGGAACGATCCAAGCCACAGAGCACCGCATTCCCCTCGAGCCGGGAACGAAACCGATTCGTTCTATGCCCTATCGGAAGGGCCCGGCCATGCGCGAAATGGTCGCGAAGGAGGTCAA